TCTCTCTCTCTCTCTCTCTCTCTCTCTCTCTCTCTCTCTCTCTCTCTCTCGATATAGATACAGATATCAGAGACAGATCAACTTATAGATTCCTATGATCATAAACTCGTATGTGATAGAAATACACATGTCAAACAAAATGTTTTGTGATGTATTTTGTATTGTTGGAAGGGGCAATGTAGGCAACAGGGGGAAGGGCACAGTCTGCCATATATACATCAAATACCTTGAATTATATATTTGTGTTAAATATCGGGTTACAAATACATAAGAGGTTTGCATTACTATATCAATTGGGTTTCTTTTCTTTTTTTGTCATTGTGAGATTTGCAAATGCCTATGAAGGAAATAAAGGAGTGATAGCAAAGAGAACATTTCAAGTTTATTTTTCAAGTTTTCCTAAAGAAATTCAAATCAACCCCTCTCCCAAATATTTCTGTGTCAAATCAAAATCCTACAACAATTTTCCAAGATAAAATTTGACAATTTGTAATTTTTGCAGAGGTTATGATTTTAAACATTCAGATATAATCTTCTTATATAACTAAACAATACAGAAATGAGAACAAGTTTTTACATGTAGGACAATACTTTTTCCAGGGTAAATCTGAATTCGTTTATGTAAACAAGTCTCCTGGATTGTGTCAACACTTTACCTTCAGGATAATGGGTGATCCTGGCTTTTGGTCCAAGATGCCAGTAGCACTCAAAAGTTCAAAGGTAGGGTTTGGATAATAAATAAATTTTGTGTCATTATAAATCAATAAAGATTGAACATTATTAAAGATGAATCCAATTTCGTCAGGTCTTTCAACAGCATCCAGACCTGGTCGGTACTGTGATGTAAGTGAAGGAGCCAGGCAAGTGAGGGTGGTAGTATTCACAACTTTACAAACCTGGAAGAACACAATTAAGGTAGGGTTATACCTTGAATAAAATATTTTTCAATTATTGGCACATCATGATTCTACCTTAATTATTTTGGCAAGACTGAAGTATCAAATCTGTTTTCAAATCATGTGATAATTTGTTCTGTCATCAGTCAGGAAGAACATTCTGTGAGAATGACTCTAGAAGTGAAATATAAGATTTTTATCTCATTTTATTTACTACCATTTTTAAAAATACCCTGCCTATATAGAAAATAACCAATGGACATCCAAGATACTGGAAAGCTGGATAGAGCTTTAGTATACAAGAAATAATCAGTGTTATATGGAATCTGAAATAGAAAGATACAGGTTTTTTAAAAAAAATATTAAGAATGGATTATAGGTTTTGTCAGAATGATAGCTGGAAATGATACCAGATTCAGGGATTGGAAGACAATTTTTTACTAAAATAGCACATGATCCTTTGATTATATAGACCACAATCTAATAGTGACTTATTTATTTAAAATTCACCTGAAATATATCAGATCTGTTCTGCCACCTACATCTTCCTCTTATGTTCAAGACAACTTTTTTTGATCAATACTGTATATTAGAAGATGTGGCAACTTGTGAAATGTGCAATGAACCTGCCACAATTGAGTTCTTATACTTCAACATTACCACAGTGCCATTGAAAATAAAATGAAGCACTACACAGGAAAAGAAATCAATGCTTCACATTTGTGTTTACAGGTCAGTGAAGATCATGTTAGCAAATCTTCACAAGATATCATACTTATTAGCATGATATTCCCAGGCATCAAAGGAATAGAAAAGGGATTTTGAATAACCTAATCTGTTTATATAGATTTCTAATATGCATTAAGAATGGGATCTAAGAGTAAGACCAATTTAGTTATAAACATACACATGCACACTGTAAAGGTAATAATAGCATTCAAGTTAAAAGAGATTCTTCCTTCCTTCCTTTTCTTTCATCACTAAGTTTTCTTAATATTCAATTTTGCAGCTACCAAGATTGTTGGATAAGCAGGTAAAAAACAGCCAGGAAAGTGATTGAAGCCTGGGAAGTAGGCCCCTCATCACTCAATAGAAGTACTGAATTGCCACCAGCCTATCAAGTATTTAGAATGTGAAGGCTGGGGAGCACAAGCAAATGACAGCTAACGATTCAAAAGCCAGTCATCAACACACTCCAATCAACATCTAAAAAGTCATTTACAACAGGCACTGTAAATACCACAAACTGTCTAGAGAGAAGTTCCCTGAAGATGGGCTCCACCACAAGTCTGAATGATCAGAATACAAAATCTCAGGTCCCAGTGATCGACCCTTATTGGATCCTGCAACGTCTAAATTTCTTTGAAATGATAATATCAGACTGCAAATAACTGTATGTAGTCACTAATTTCACTGTTTCTGGTATAATATTGACAGAAGTAGGAAAATACTTCAACAATTAATGTTCAAAAATAATAATCGGAAGCTTCCTTGTTTTTCAGATTTGTGTGAAAACTGACAACACACACAAACACAAAAACAAACAAACAAACACACACACACACACACACACACACACACACACACACCATAATCATTATAAAAGTCCATGGGTTGTCTAACCAAATATTCCAGCAGCGTGTCTCTATATGTTTTTCAACAATCTGACATTTTATTTTATCATGTTCTTACTAATTAATATCCAACCCTATCAAATAATCAATTTTACCAGATCTGTATTTCAAATACTGCCAGTGACATGTTCTTAGATAAAATTATATTTCCATGTTGTAAAATGAAGCTGTTTCCTTATACAACAGCTCTGTAAATTTATAAAAAATCCAGAAAGTTTGATTTCTTTATGTTGTTCTAGATGTTTTGCAATATGATATAATTCACAAACATAAAACCTCCTAAACCATCACAATTTTAAGAAGCAAGATGCAGGTACATTTTTGCTCTGCTTGAATTATAGCCAAGTCTTTGGATGGGAACTATGAGAAAGAATCTTAAAACTTAAAACTGAATGGCAGTGCTTCTTCTATGAAGTTACATATTAAATTACATCTCCTTACTTGAAACCAACACTGAACCAACATAAAGCCCAAATATTAAATTAACAATAAGGTTTTAAAAATATGAAAACTACCAACTAGATTAAAAGTTGTGTTTATGAACGAAGTAAACTACATGGCTGAAAGTTCACAATTTACATTTCTAATGTAATGGCTTTTTTACAGTGGTATTCTTGAAAATACAGACAAAATATTTGCAGATCACAACAATTAATCATAAAATCATATATTAATTATATATTGATGCAACAACACTGAATGTCTATGATTCATTGACTGAATCAATGAAATACACCATCTAAGAAATCTTTCAGGCCCTTGTGGTCAGAAAGTAATTGTGCCCTTACAATGAGATTATGTCTATTTCTCACCCTCCTCCTTTTTTCTACATACAGCTGCATATGTAGATTTCAAAATTTGCCCACAAAGGCCGAGTTTGATCTAAATGCTGACAAATATACGAACAGCTGTGGAGCCTTTTCGTTAGTCACAAATGCATTTGTCATGGATCAGAGATACATTGTTTGGCAATGGAAATACAACATAAATCACATTGCAGTGTTAATTCTAGTTTGAATAATAATAAAAAATCCTTCAGGAATACAAGCATTTAAAACAATAGTCTAAAATGGGAGTTTTTAAAAAGAGCTTATATAGAGGTTAACGTCAAGAAAGGGCATAGGTACATAAAAACTTGAATTTGTGAAAATTGCTATTGTGCTGAAGATCTGGATGGAAACAAATACACAGAACAGAAGCTATGTCACAGGATAGTGATGTAGAGAGATACATCTACAAGCTGGTCTGGGACAGAGCCAATTTTACAATTAAAAAGTCTCTTCCATCACTTGCTTCTCTGATAGTTCGCCAGGATTGTTCTGTTCAAATGAAGCAGGTGTTCAGAAGGGTAGAGTCAGTAAAATATCACTACCATTGTTGTTGTTGTTTTTTCAACCTTGTTTACTAAGAGCATCTCTGCCTTCTGCTGCTGGCTTTTTGTATGCATTGAATGATGTATGGTGGGGCCTCACAATGACACAAGTACCATATGCTGTCATTGTTCCCTGTTAAATGCAATTTCTATATACAGTATGATAAGGCTCCGTGGAATAAAATAAAAACAAACTGTTAAGGTTATCCATGATAAGGACTCTAAAATGGAATCTAACCAATGTAACATAAAATATAGCTGCTCATGCAGTTTTAAGAACATTTAGGATGTAGGGATTATGAAAAAGCATAGGACGTGTGAACTCTCCTGGAGACCTTTCCCCTAACTTTTTATATCTTCTTCTATAAGCTATATTCTGCTTTAATCAGTTCACAATGTTTAACTTTATTTTTATCCTGCCTTTATTATTTTTTATAAACAACTGAAATGGTTGAACATATCTAATATTCCTTCCTCCACATGTTTTTCCCACAACAATAATCCTGGAGGTAGCTTGGCCTGATAGAGAGTAACTGGCATCCATAGGGAGGAAGAATGAAAAAATGGCAGGATGGTTGGTGTGGCATCAGAAAACAAGATCCACTGTTTTCATATGTATGTAGAAAATTTAGCAATAACTTCATAGGAAAGCAAAAATTTCCATCTCATATAGCAATAGCAATAGCAGTTAGACTTATATACCGCTTCATAGGGCTTTCAGCCCTCTCTAAGCGGTTTACAGAGTCAGCATATTGGCCCAACAATCTGGGTCCTCATTTTACCATCCTTGGAAGGATGGCAGGTTGAATCAACCATGAGCTCAGGAGAATTGTTGGCAGTTGACAGAATTAGCCTGTAAGCCTGCATTCTAATCACAGAGCCACCATGGCTCCTTCCACTGTAGCCAAACTTATGTTAAATGCTATAATAAATTAGAATCAAATCCATATTAAAGAAATACTTATTAGAATGAATTTTGATTATTATGAATGCAATTCTTGTGTCTCATTAACAAAATAGATTAGTGTTATATTTGAATAAAAATCCTTTCTTTTTCAAGAGATTAAAGATACTTTTGAAAAACAACCAGCCTACAACTTGTAAATCAGACAAGAAGCATGCAACCATTGGGTTAAGAAAATGTTAATCTTTGGTAAAAGCAGATACTTACATTGACAGATTCTTTGCCGTTGTACTTCACTCGGATTCTGGGCTCTTGTATAACATCCAGGTTAGATCCCATAACAATGACAGGCGTGTGGCCACTGAAGAAAAGCAGAAGTCTTTAGGTTAATGAGGCTAATATGTCAAGAGGAACTCGGGTCAAGCTCAGTGTCTATATTTCTGGTAAACACAAATGTTTATCTCAGTAAGACATTTTCTACAGATTGAATAGGGTGACAAGAGTGCATTAATACACAATTGAGTGCATTGATATTCCATTGCTTTGACTCTATCTACAGTTGTCTCCCATAGTAATGCTTTTTGGTTTCACCTGTCCCCTAAGTGGGTAGTTATTTTGCCATGTAACATTTCTTAGATATGTTAACAATGGATGCTAAGGAGATGAAAATGAGCCCAAAATGAAAATATGGAGATCATTTTTTGCTTCAAACCTTCTAGCTCAACACAATACAATAACACTCATTTGAAAGTCACATTTTATTTCTAGCCTTTAACATGGCAGATGTGTTGGGAAGTAATGGATAGTGAAATAATTGAATGGGGAAGAATCAAACAAAATCAGCTGATATTAACAAGGTTGCATTTACAAACTATTTGACAGTGATTTATTTCTATTATGTCATTTTTGGGGTGATCTTTCAACCTACTTTTGATTTTAGCCTCTCTAATTCCTAAGGAAGGCCTGAATGCCTAATTCAGCCCAGTATCTGCCTTGACTGTTGCTTCTGACTAAGGTTATTCTGAGTTTCTCCAACGATTAATTGAATGTGCATTAAAAATCTACCAGCCCTATCTAATCAATTTCCAGAGTACTCCTTTCCCAGATATAAACAGAGAAAACTAGGATGGAAAGCATCTGTTGTCATTCAAATTGTTTTTGTTCTGCCTTATGTGCATCTAGAAAATTAGAACATTATTGAGTACCTAATTAAATAGGAATGAGAAGTTACTAAACCATGTTAATCTAATATATTCAAAATTGCAGGTTTAAAGCTTTAATATTCCAGTTAAGATGTTCAGTTCCATGTTTTTCTTCAATAAGTATTGAAGCTCACCACAATGCTTCTTCCTGAAGCCAGTCTTGAATCTTCTGAGAAATCACTATCCATTTCTATAAGCTCACACTCACATTTCATCTTTTGTATGTCATATTGTATGCAAGTCAGAAAAAGCTAATAGCAGTGCAAAAACTGATCAGGGTTTTAGAAAGTATTCAATCAATAACTACTATAGAGTACACTTCTGGGATATAGCTATGCATCTTAGGTAATTTCATGCATGAACTTTTTTTCTCCTCTTTTTGCATTGATTGCCACTGTTTTTGTTTTAGCGCTGACTCTAATGTTTTTTAAGAAGAAACCTTTAATGAGCAATTGTGCATTTCTTCAGCAGATGGAAGTGATCATGGGGTTCCATTTGCTCTCCTAGAATCTTCACAGATTGCTATGGTTTTAATTCAGCTGAATTAGTAACTCTGATTTTTTAACTGGGTGGTGGGAAGAGATGCTTTCATTACCCTGCAACAATATATTGAAGCCTGTGGATAGGAGATCCACTTATTTCAGATACTTTGTTGTTCTTTTGCAATAGATTGAAAAGGATGAAACATTTTCAAATAAGTTTTCGCATCTACTTTTTTTGGGCTTGACAAATGCAAACGGTGTGACCATTTTACAAATATAATTCTTTAAATTGTCTAGACCTTTTGAACCCAGGAAATCAGGGGAATGGATATGCCATACTCCTTGAAGGATCAGACCTTTATTCATAAATCTTCTGTATTTACACAGGTGGAATAAATCCTCTAGGAACTGTGAAGCTGGGTGCTGACAACTGAGAGGAAAGCAAATGAAGAGAATTATAAATTATACCTTTCTCTCACTGGGAACCTGGCTGTTCAGTGCTAAGACACAGACTCTGTTTTCTTTTCTGTATTGAAGGGCAGTCTCAAACCAGCATTTATAAAGACAGTGTTGATTCTAAAGTCATCACCCATAGTGACATGGTTTCAAAATTTGAACAAAGCTTTTGTTGAATTTTAAAAATGGTAATTGCTAAAAAAAAATTTCCTGCCATACCTGTGAAATCTGTCCCCATCAAAATTGTACTTGGATGTATTGTTCTTCCTGGGATGAAGAACTTTCATTTATTTGAAGATAATTATCAAATATTTCATTTTCTTTGACAAGACAAAGAATTTTCAGCTGATTCTAGCTGGTAAATAATTTTTGCAAAATTGCTTTTGGGAGGGCTGTAGATCGTTGAAAATATTTATGAAGAAAAAATTGTACCATGCCTTTTAGATGTGCTCAAGTAACAATAATGCAAGTTTTTTCTGTCCAATTATTGTTTTGCTTGAATTATTGGGGGGGGGGGGAAATAGGGAGTATCCTGACTAGAGGTACATCCTAAATAGACACTAGTAAAAAAAAGTGCAGAAATCATTTGGTTTTGAAAATTTCAACTTGGTTGAATTTCTATTTTGTGAGGAAATATTTGGACCCTGCTTCAAGTGATTTGTTTCTTGATACAATATTATAGGCAGTTTAGGTACCTGGCTATGCTCCATTCAGGCTCAATCCGATGAACTTTTGGATCATCAATGTATTCAAATTGTAATGTGCTCTCTAGCTGGGCCCGGTCCACGCTGACAGAAACATGCACTGGTCCAAGACCATGGGTAGAAGGTGCAGACACACACATAATCTCATTAATTGACCTCCTATAAGGGAGAAAGAAATCTTTGGTTAAAAATATGAACAAAGAATAGCATCACTTATTGGCAACAATGGGAATCTTTGGGATTCATTCTAAAACAGTTGAATAATAATATTTCAGTGAGATATGATTTTTAATAGATAAACTCTAGTAGCTATTTTATAGTCATGACCCACAAAAGCATGAATATTCATGTATTTTCAGCTGAAGTCATTTTTATTTCTGCATACAATAAGCATACTTCATTTAAAGTTTGGATTGTAATTAAATCATGATTAAAAATTCTGATGCTGCAGTTCTCATTTTTTGGAAATATGTGGGAAGGCCCTGACTTTACAATCTTGGAATTCACATCTGCTGAAGTATAAGTATCTGCCAAAATTTTGTTTTCTGGAAAAAAAAACCTGGACTGAATAAATTCGATAATATGTATTAATTTCATTTATTTATATTACAAATGTGTATGCCATCTATCCATAAATGACTTTGCATGGCTTACAATTAAAGATGTACAAAATATCAGTTTCAGAATGGAACATTCCAAAATATTACTGTAAAGCTTCATTTTGATTCCATGCCCTTCTACTGTTCTGGGAGTGATTTATTGCATCTGTTTGGTCTGGAGGAAAAACAGAACACTATATTTCTGAAAGCAACATTTTGCACTTCCATCTTTACTTCCAATATAAATATAAATATGTTTTTGTGCATGTGTTATTCATAGATGATTTGGGTTAAGAGCAGGGGTGGGTTTCAAAACTTTTTACTACCTATTCTGTGGGTTTGGTCTATTTTGTCAGCATGGCTTGGCAGTCATGTGACAGGGTGGGCATGGCCAGCTTGATGTAACTCACCAGATGTCATGGATTAGGTAAAATGTAGTGAAGCTCACTTAACAATGCTCTTGCTTAGCAACCAAAATTTTGGCCTCAATTGTAGTCATAAATCAAGGTCTATCTCTGCCTTCCTCTGCATGGCAGTCTTGTTCCAGTAAACTCATTCTCTTTTCTGGCAATTTTCTTCTCTGTTAGAGGAAAATAATCCAAACTAATCCAAAATACCCCCCCCCCCCAATAACTGCTGAATGTCACTTTGCAAACCTGAGCAGCTTTTCAATTTAAAGTAGGATTCCAAAGTTTGCAGCTTTAAGACTTGTGGACTTCAACTCCCAGAATTCCACAGCCAGGCATGCTCAGTTCTGATTTAAAGTGACAGCATTTGTTTTTCTCCTTTACTGAATCTCCTGCAGAAAAGTAAGTTTCCTTCCTTCTTCCACCCTCCCTCCCTCCCTCCCTCCCTCTGTCTTACTTTTTTCCCCCTTATCTGAACCGGCAGGGGGAAAACTTTTTTTAAAAAAGCTTCTGATGGGAGAACAGATTCGGGGGCGTAGCCAAACCACCATTTTTACTACTGGTCCTATCTGGTGATTGGTGACTTTGGACCAGTCACTCTCTCTCAACCAGAGGTGGGTTCCTCCCTACACAGTCCATTATGCCAGAAGAGGTAGTGAAAATCTGGCATACCGGACTATATAGGGAAGAACCCACCTCTGATTGAGAGACAGTGACTGGTCCAAAGTTGCCAATTGGCTTTCATGCATAAAACAGGACGTGAACTCACAGTCTCCTAGTTTCTAATCTAGTGCCTTAATCACTAGATCAAACTGGGTGATCATATAAATATCTATAACTCTAAGAAGCCCGAAGGGACCTGTAAAATATTGCACACACACACCAGATGGCTAGATTAAAAACAAACAAACAAGATTATACCAATTTTGCCCAGTGTCTTTAATGCTAATCTTGAGATAAATGACATAAACTTGAAAACTGCAAAAGAAATTTCAACCCTCATTTTTTTTTTGTACATTAAGGTTGAGTTTCTTTGAATAATTTGAAATGCTTTCCCCCAGTTTTTTGTCATATGAGCTGAGTTTCTATTTAAACTAATAATTGTGCTAGAATGTAATCTGGATCCACAGGAGGAGGGGCTACTTTCCAGAAAGCAAAGAGGCAATGGAGCTTAGAAAATTTGGTCTACAAGAAGAGGGTTAAAATGGCTCTTCCCTGGCAGTTCCCAGTGTATATTTATAGTTATACAGATAATTGCTTTACTCTGGCAAGATTCTGTCTATGGATGATGAACTATAAAGGAAACTACTCAGAATTAACTCCACGTGTCATTTTTGGCTCTTGGGACTGACATCGTGGACTTATTTTCTATTTTTCCTTCTAGCCCCCTCTAAACTATAATGTAGGAGATCTGCCAATCAACAGAAGCCTGTTCCATTTAGACGATCTCACCAATCATAAGAACATTTGCATATTCACATAGGAAAGACAAAGTTTGGATTGTGCTGTATGCATGTGCAAATATAAGAAAGGAAGGGGGGAGCATGGAATAAACGTCTTTTACATCAATTATTTCCTTCCTATTCAAAATCATCATCAAAACCATTTAATCCCCAGAGAAGAAAATATTAGGAAATCTTGTGTTTTTTCCACTATGTATGTGCTCAGCAGGAGGTGAAGGGAAGGGAAGGGGGGGTGCAAGATAGGATAACAAATGGCAGTAAAAAAAATGAAGTTACTCAAATATGAGCCTTCATCTCCCTTTCTTGAGTCCTATTTCTGGACATAATAATGGTGGCAAAAACAATAATTATATGGTACACCTAGTTATGCTTACAGATACATTCCTGGTATGAAGATGTATAGTCAAAAAATGGAACACTGGTGATCCTTGCCTTTTTTTTAAAAAAAAACCTGTTATAACCATCAATAATTACAATATTAAATTGTGAACTACTTGAGTAAACAAATTAAATATACAACATAAGCTTTAATTTATGCTTAGTATTTGGCTCCTTTCATTGGAATAAAGGATGAACAAATAAATTAAAATGTTTTATGGATTCTTCTGTTCAGGTTTCAGGCCAGGTACTCCAGAAATCTGCATCCTGATTTTTAATATCCTCACAAAATTCATAATCTTCTGATGTGCCCTTGGAAAATACAAAGGTAAAGGATCTAATAAGTGTTATACCCATGCAAACCTTAGGGATATGGTAAGTTTTTGTTATATCCCCAGTGTTTTGGATGGTGCTATATTTCTTAAATACTTTATCATGAGCATAGTGGATTTTGTACTACACTTTTCCAAATAATTAAATATTAAGTACAACATCCTGTGGTTATATGAAGAGAACTGGAATTGATATATTGTATTTGAAAAGAAAAAAAATACTGCAGGATGCATTTTTTTTTAAAAAAACATCATTCTGTTTCTTTGCCCAAAAGAGTAAAAGGGAGTTCCTGGTCTGAAAAAAAAATCATAAATTTGATTCAAAGGATGGGCAAAGATATTAAAGAGTAAAGAAATAGAGAAGGAATAATAAATAAATGATAACACGGATAGAGGGAAATGGGCAATGTAAAATAAAAAAAAAGAGAAAAGACGTAGGCTATGAATTGTCACATCACCATGCAGCCTGGCCATAACAACAGACAATTTAGGGGAACTGGAATCCAGTCCTCCATCTATCAGTGGCCTCGTGTGAGAATAGGCATTTTAACATGCCATAGACCAGACTTCAGAGAAATCTGCTTAGTCCTTGTATAAGATCCAAAGCGACACATCACTGCTGGCAAAGAGTTACTGCAAGCTCCCTGTGATCAGTTAATTAGCTTTCTGCGCTATTACCATGTCGTCATGGTGAATTTCTCCACTCCTCCGATCAGAGGCAGGAGAATAGAAAGAAGCTGTAATTACAGTGAATCTCATTAGAAACTGCTTCATCTAATCAGTCTCCTGCACATCATGAGTACATGCCAAGTTCATCACCTATAAACCTGGCAGTTTATGGAAGGAAGAAAGAAAGAAGACCATGTCATGACCTTGTATGGAAAGGCAGGGATAAATAGTATGCTGTTAGATTTTAGAAATGTTGTTTACTAGATTATATGGGCAAATAAATGATATAGTGAATTAGAAAGAGTTCTTAAATTTAGCCATACATTTAATGGAATATTTATGTTGCATCAAACAGACATTATCATTTATTTATTCCAAACTTTTCCTTAGCTGCAAATAGAAAAAAAGGGGGGAAAATGCTTGGGTTGATTTATAAATTCTAATTTATAAATTCTAATGGTGGTATATGCCACAAAGAAGGAATAATGAAGATAAATAATTTGTGACTTGGGTGCCCACAAGACTATACCTGAATGACAAACTATGAAGAATGTGAAAGGACCATCAGTATTTATCAAGTGACCAAGTGGGCTGGTTTTGTCTGGCTTGGATATCTGGGGAAGTGTGAGGATTGTTGAGGGGGCATGGGTCTGTGGCAGGGTTGGGAGCTAGCTGACCGATTTTGGAAAAGTCCAGGCAATGTCCTGCTGTGACAACCTAGAGGGCAGGAACTATCTTGTCCCATTAGTGATTCTGTGTCTGGAAGGGGAATGTGACCAATTCCATGCTCTAAAGGAATCTGATGTAACTAATGTAGCCAGATGGCTTAATTGCCGAGACTTTGCAGCCCTTTGGAAGCTATGCCAGTCTGCTTCCTAGAAAAGTAACTAGATTTATGATTGATGGTTGGGAGGAAGATTGGGATTGGACTGAAAGTTGATTGTGGGGCATAATGGTGAAGGAAGGGAAGGAACCGACCCATTTATTTTACCCCTCCCCCAGAGATAGAAGGATGGGATGGCTTGTCAGAATCACTAATGGGACAAGATAGCTTGTCTTAGGTTGATGACGTTGCATGTTTGTTGCCCTATGTTTGATGAGTATAGAGTATAGAGGGAGATGGCATGATAGGTTTTGAAGGTGAGTTGGTAGGAGATGGTTTAGAAGAGTATGTGGTCAGGAGGACCTTTGTACTTACTTGCCATTTGAATATGGGGGATTTGTGTTTGTCTTGTGAATGGAAACACTAATGGTTGATGGTTGAGGGGAGGAAACAGGGAGTAGGGACCCTATTCAAAATGACCCTAGTGACTTCTAGATCAGAAGGAATTGATGAAACATCTGAAGGGTTGTTGTATCAGTTCCATTAGGTAAGCCAATAAAGAAATCAATTCTATAGGATGTCTATATTTTTAAAAAACTGAGATTGACTATAATTACAGAATCTTGCAAGTTTTATTTTGCTGTATCTCCTCCTCCTCCTTAAAGGTCAATAAATTAGGGAGGTGTCTGTCCCAGCCACTTCTGAATATTATCTGTATATTATGGACTTAACATCAAATCTGGAAAATTTCTGCCTTTCAGCTTCAGAGGCCCCTTGAGGAAGTTGACTATCTGGACCATTTTCAATGCAGATTCAGCCTGGAATATGGTACAGAGATATAGTAGCTTTGATCACACTGGTTAGTTACTTGTGGCAAGTCCTGGATGTGTGGTGCCTCTATCCTGATGCTTCTTATCTCTTGGTGGCTTTTGCTATCATTGACATAGTATCCCTGATCTGCCTTTTTCTTTAGGCATTTGAGTCTAGTTTAGTGGAATTTTGATTGTTTAATTATTATATCTGGTTATTTTATATGTTGGGTTGATTAATGTTGTATGAATATCTTTACTTTTTATTGTTTGCTTTGTAGTAGACTGCTCAAAGTTACATTGCTGGGTGACCTAATACTTCCACTATATATATATATATATATATATATATATATATATATATATATATATGTGTGTGTGTGTGTGTGTGTGTGTGTTCCTTTCTGATAGTCAACAACAGCAGAAAGATTACTAGTAAAAGATATCCAAGTATGTTTTTATGCTAATGAATTATGTGATACCACAGTTTGTATGTTGGCCAACAGAGCTAATGAAACCGTGTAATCAAGAGGAACTCTGCAAACATCAATATTGCATCCCAGAGTCCGTTGAGACAGTTCCTGCATAACTCTAAGCTCAAAAAGTTATTTGAGAAGCAAATGCCATAAAGAAAAAAAACCTCTGTAGATAAGAAATGAAAAAACTCCTGTAATGTAACTATGCACATTTCTTCCTATCTGTTCCAAAGGTATAAATGAACTCTGTCCTATTAGATAAGGAGATACTAAATCAGTTAAATCAAGTCTACTCATTAACATGTCATTTCTTATCTCTCCTTTTCAATCCAGGCACAAAGTGGATGCTGGGATGTTTTATCTCTTCAGATGCTGAAGAAAGCAGCACTAATATGAAAAGTCTCAGTAATTCAGCTTTGGAAATGTTAGTTATGCTGCAGGCAAATTGTACAAAAGCAGCAGCAAGTGGCATGCAAATCCCTCACTCCTTGCATCTGATTAACTTGCATCAAACATCATGGAACATCATTCCCCAGAGATTAGAACAGCTCCCACTCGAATACTCTTCCAGAAGGCCCTGAAGATCTGGTTCTGCCAGTGGACCTGGGGAACCCAGAGCAGGATAGAGCCCTTTAAATGGCTCATGTGATTTGCTGTCGCAGAGTGTTGGTGTGTGATTTTATATTATACTACATTAATTTATTTTATTATTCTTATTATTTTAAATGTGGTTTTATATTCAGTAAGCTGCCTTGAATCATCATGGTTAAATAGGTGGCAATAAAAATAAACAAACAAACAAACAAACAAACAAACAAACAAAGTTCAGGTTGGAAGGAACAACCAAAAGGCTTTTTTATTTCCTGAAACAGTTCCTTAAATTTCCTATTTCTTTACAAGAAGATATGTCCAAGCATCCTCTTATTTTAACCACAATAAATTTTCTCCTTCAATTTATGTTTCATTTTATTTTCATCAGGAAACTAAATTTATACATGGAGTTTCTACATGGCCTTCAGACTCCTGGCACCAGGGGTGGTATTCACTTACCTTCCCTACTGGTTAGCAAATGTGAGTGCATACGCAACCTCTGCATATGCACTCAGCCTTTCATGCATGCTCTTTTGGCAAAAAAGAGCCTAAATGGGATGCCATAGAACCGGGGCGGGTGGGAGGGACCACCTGCAATTTCCAATACAGTTCAGGCAAACCAGTCAGAATCAGTAGCATACCACCTCTGCCTGGCACCCATATTGCGGTACATATGGATGAAGGAGATGGGTTTGTATCATGAACCAGGCCACAGTCTTACTTGCTTTGACACCTCTACACCGTTGATACTGAGTCTAATTTAGGAGCCTAGGAACCCAGCTTGACACTAACTGGCAGGGACTCTTCAGGTTTTCTAATGGAAATATTTCTCATTCCACTTGGAATTTCCAACTAGTTGTAAGCCGCCCTGAGTCCCCCCAGGGAAAAGGGCGGCCTATAAATAAATAAAAATTTCAAATTATAAACTCCTCTAACCAATTTCATAAAGACTATAGCATGATATATTTTTGGACTATTGCCATGAATATTACAGAAAGTATTAATGTAGGTTTGGGTTTATTAAATGATTCATTTTGTCATCAGAGTACTACATGCTTATTAAACATTCTTATTTGTGATTTTAAGTTTTCTTGAATTTCCCAATTCAACTATATTATATAAAGCTTGTTGCCCAACAGATTATTATTGTTCATTGTAGTTTCAGAAGAAATCTCAAACCATAATTTATATTTTAATAACAAACACAACACAGTAATTAGTAGATGAAGCATGTTATGCTGTTATAATATTTTTGTTACATATATATATTGCTTGATATATTCAAGTGAAGTGTAGGTATATTAATATTAAACTGAAGCCTTTGATTTACACATTTATTTCAAAGTGTGAATGATCCAAATATTTTGAAGGGGAGGAGAGAGTCATGTGTTGACTTTACACAGTTGTTCTAACTTCCAATTTTAGTGAAATCAATTTGTACACATATTAAGATTTTAGAGGAAGATGATTTTTATTTCCACGACTTTACATTGAACATTGGTTAAATTAATTTAAGCAATTTAGTCTCTAGTCCTTATAAAGCCTGGACAGACTTTGTCATTCTGAATTGTATCAAGGATATAAAACCATACTCATATATTGCCCAATAATTTCCATAATAAAGTTGAGGGTTCAGTACAAAATAATTGTTTGCAATGATTTTACATTCATGCAAAATTTCAATCATAAAAATTGAACATTGACTACATTGATTCTCTGATATCAATCAGTATGCTATATAGGTCTAATTAAACCTAGTATTATTTTATGTAACTGACTACAGAGCAGAAGTATATTTTGTTCATAGATATTTTATTATCACCACTGTAGCATGTCCTTTGTTTAAATACACAAAATTAGAATATATAAATTTATGGTGCTTCAAGTTTAAATAGACGTGACAAAAATGCAACATTGCTTTTTTTTTGGTAAAAAGTAACAAAAGAGATATATTTTTATCACTTTAAAAATATAGAAACTAAAGCATAGATTTGTGAATTCTAAAAGAAAAGAAAAGTAAAGCTTCATTCTTAATTTCTGTCACTCAACCTCTTTCCCATCGCACTGGGAGGCAGGCACACCTGCTGCTTTCATAGTTAGAATAACAATAAGAGAATGGAAAGAGATGCCTGCTTCTCCCCCCCTTTTTCCCCTTCTAGCTCTCTTTTAATTTTGTGCTGAGAAAAAATGGGCTGGAAAACATGTAAAAGGATTTGAGCAACAGAATATGTAGGAGACTTGGGGTAGAAGCAGGATTTTGATATACAAAAGGAAAGCAATAAATTAAAGTAATCAGCATAAACTCAATTCACTGTTATGCAGCGTTCATCAAAATCAGCAACAGTATAGTTCAAGGTGATTTATTAGACGTTAAGTGTTTAAAGTTGGTGTGGCTTTAACAATGCCTGTGGAAGTTCAGTTAAGTTTGTTTAGAACATATATTCACATAAACTCAAACCTCCCCCCCCCCCCCGCAACTCTCTTACCCATAAAACTCGCAGGTCTGATTACCCAGCAATACTGACACACTGCTGCCAGCTCCCAGAAAATGGCCAGTAATGGTCACCATAGTCCCTCCTGACTCTGGTCCACGGCTGGGACTCAAATAACCCACAGCAGGATTCTTGGAAAGGAAACAAAACAAAATATAAAACAAGTTCAATTGTTTTGCTGTGATGTTATTCCAGATGATTATATAGTGAGACAAGAACGACCTTTAGGTGAAGGGTTGAAATAGACAAATATATAATCGTATTAGTTAATTGGTTATTTTTTCATTATGGTACTGACCAAATTGTACAACTAAACAAGTTACAGATAGTTGCTGTTTCAAGTAAAATGAACTGCAGATGTTAAAATTCTAAAATCATGAGCAAGGCATTTTTACAGACAATACAACAAAATTTTGTCAATTTCAGGAAAACTGAATTCTACTGGTTTGCCAGTAAAAGATGTGTTATATACAAAACATTTCAGAATTGTCTGGGTACTTCATTGAACAGGGAGTTATGAAGCAGGCCTTTGTATCTTTATAAAAGATATTATATCAGAACATGAACTACAAATTACATAGGTCCTTCTCCAAAAGGTAGAATATAACTTCATATAGTGAAGTGATTTTTCTCCAACTTTCTGTTTGGACTACAGTGTTTTTGATAGAAACTACCAACATTACCACCTAACTGGCTGAGGAGTTTGGCAGCTTTAATTTAACACAACTGGAGGACATAAAGTTGGTGTGAGAATATGCAGACAGTCCATGTACTTTCATTTTATTTTAATTCTTGGATGTATAATGTCTATACGAAGCATTCTATTTTCTAGAAACAAATACCAGTGATGTGAGAGAACACAACTTCCACCAGCTGTCTGCTAACAATTGAAAATAAATTATACTGCAGAGTAACAATGATATCATCAAATTTTGAAAATCTCAGAAGGAAACGCTTCCTGATCTTATTCTCATCTATGCTACAAGTCCATAGATGAAGATCAGAAAGGGAAACAAATATAGCGTAAGAATAGCTAGTCAACAGGATAGTTTCTGGAAACTTGGTCTGATCTATCTATATCATGGTTAACTCAGAAGAACAGGTGAAAATAAGTTTAGCCAAGTATAGTGAGCATGTTAGGAATATTTAAATGGAACAAAATATCCCATGCCCCATTGGGTCATCATTTCAGAGAAACAAAATGACCATGGCTGGGCAAAAAGATGAGTGAGGGAATGATTTCCCACTTGCTCCCATCTTCCCCATTACATTTTTTTGTGAGGGGCAGGGAGCATCAGAAATCTCCCTCCCCCCTCCCAACTTTCCAATTTACTTTACTTGTGAGAAGCTTTTAGGGAGAAAATCAATGGGGAAGCCTGCACAAAATTGCAAGTCCAAGGAAAACAGGTAATTAAGTGGCTATTGATGACTGTGGAAGAGAGTGAAGGGCTGAGTAGGCCAGAAATGGTATGTGCGGGTGCATGAGAAGTATTGCATGGGTTGGGAAGTCTGTAAGTATATGACATGTCATGTGGTTTTCTCAGATGTGCCAACAAGGCTCTCTTAATAAATTGGAACTTTGAGCAATACTTTGACTTGGACTCTGATTTAATTTTGGATGCTATTTGGGATACTGTCCGGAGTCCTGAGTCCCAGCACTGACCTGAACCCAGGTGGTGCAAAGACTCAGTGAAGATGGAGGAATAGAAGAAAGTCACAGGGAAAGCAGCAGATGACAGATCATCTATCTATGTCAAGACCATTTATGTGCCTTCCAAAGTTGTGGTGGAAGCCGTGGAGGCTATGGAGAGAGAACACCAGCTGGGAACTGGGCACAAAGAGCTGGCCCCTAGGCCTCCCTCACAAACAGAACTAGCTCTGCAAGATGAAGCCTCTGGATTTATCACCCCTAAGGAGTTTCTGTTGGAGCCACAGGGGTGGGTGGGAGGGCAGCCTCGACCCACAACTGGAGGGAACCAAAGCAAACGAAAGAACCCTGACAGATGGTATGCCAGTTAGGGATGGTGAACAGAGGGTAGTGGAATGGGTTGGGAAGAGTGCCTGAGGGTGTTTGGAAATATGCAAGAGATGTCATGCAGGTCAGGATTAGAGCACGGATAAGAAAGGGTGTGCAGGGGTACCTTAGAGCTGCGACGTGGGTTGGTGAAGGCATGCAAGAGGGTGTTGACTGGGAATGGTGAGTAGGAATATGGTGGATGTTACAAGAGCTGCTGAATGAATTAGGGAAGGTATGTTGAAGATGTCACAAGTTGGGGAAGCAGGTGGAGGCATGGCATGGGCCAGGAAAGTTGGATATCTTCCTCCCTGTTCCTCCCTCCTTTCCTTTCTTCCATGCCTCTTCCCTTTGCTTCTCCTCCCAGCAGGACAAGCTGTTTCCAGATGGGGGAGGGAATGAGGAATGTGAAATTGGTGAAATTGGCTGGGAAACTATCCCAAAACATTGAAAATGAATATTACATAACATGACCATAGGAGGAGTCCAGTAGCAGCTGAAAGCACTGAAGTAGCGACAACTTTCCCAAATTATATTAATGCAAACTACGTATGTGTCTGCTAAGAGTCAACCATGATTTGATGTCACATATCTATATATCCATCCATCCATCCATCCATCCATCCATCCATCCATCCATCCACCCACCCACCCACTCACCCTGTTTACTATTAGAGATGGTTGTAGGGTTTTTTATATATTTGTTTTTAATTTTTATAACTAACTAGTTTTCAGTTATGTTATGGCACTTTTCTACTTTCTGCCAATGCTCCATCAAATGTCTCCAATTTGATGATGTAGTTACACAATGAATATAACTGTTTATTGTATTCAGATCATCGCATTTTTAGATTTCATACAAGCTGCTTTGTCTCATTTGGTGATCAAAGAAATCAGTGTCTTTGAATAGGCCTATTTTTTTTAAAAAGATACCTCAACATCAAGGAATTTAAAAATCATTAGGGAAAAAAAACTATATATGGAATGATCACAGAAAGATTTTCTACAGTTATGAGACATCTTATATTGAACTCTGAGTTTTATTCTCTATAATGATGCTTTAATAACATTGCTGTAATCTAAAGAGATGATTGATGTTTAGGAATTCCTGCTTAGATTACAGAATAGTTCTTTTGAGTCATGGTTTTTGTCTTAGTTGCACTGAAATGATGATCACTGCCAGAGAAAATTGTTTTATAAACTATAAATGAAAAGTAAAATAGCATTAATACAACATAGCACTTACTTCTACATATACTGTAGTGCAAAAATTGTATTTTGAAGATATTTGAAATATTTGGTTCTTAGTATTATTTGGTTCTTGATAGGTAAGTGATTTTTAATTGGTCTTAATTGATTTTAAATGGTTCTTTAAAAGACTTTGAAAGATTTTGCATTTAGAACCCTGCCATTTGCATGTTCATTTATCAAGGGAGGAAAGAGAGATGTCTGCAGAATTTATTTTTCCAAGGTTTCATTGCCTTTTACCTAACTTAAGCTTGTGATTCATCTGTCAAATATGGAAATGGACCAAGCAGTGACAAATGTTATGCTAGAAATTTATTATCAAAGGATCAGACTAAATGTGAAGACGGCAGCCAACATTGCTGGTGATAAAATAATAGAATATATAAAATGAATGACTGTGTCTACCACAATGATATGGAACCTCTCATTGAGCCTTTTAGCTTCAGTTACAAGCCATACTCTCTTTGATTCCAGACATGAAATGTAGAAAAAAGATTTTGTGCAGCTTTCCTGAAATCAAGCACAAATTTATGCTCCATGATATGAGTATGCAAGTAATTTGAAAATGCATGTAATAGTGTCATGTTAAAGTGTATACCTATTTCTTAATTAAAGTATAAAAAACTATAAAGTATAATAGCATATTACATAGAATCTAACAGATCATAATATAAATTCACTTGTAAATGATAATTGCAATCAATCTTTCATAAGCATTTAAAGTGAGTGCTCCTTTGTGCACAAGAGACTCTGAGGTTGTGTCTAATCTGTCAACAGTTGAACCTGATCCAGAACAGGTTAGCTGCAAGGCCAAGAAAGGCCTGTCTGTTGCCCAAGACATAAGATGCTTCCCTCAGAAACTCTTTCCAAAGCAGCAAGCTTGGATTCGACTCAGTCTGCAGTTTTATGGTATCTAAATTTATTATTTTGGGGGAACTTAATTTTGAATTAAGTTGCAAGGATAGGCTTCCAGGAAACAGAAAGCTCTTTTCTGCAGGTGTTGGCCTTGTATCTAGAAAAGGGAGAGATGTAGGAATATCCATGCCACTCTCCCAGGATCCCTTTCTAGGACCCTTTTCCATGACCTCCTTCATCACTTCTTTCAATGCCTGAAAAAGGGTCTAGCAGCTGCAAAAAGTTCCAATGAAATAAGTCTGCCATTAGGTTGTAAGGGCAACAAGGTGAAACCTAGGAATCTTCTCAGATGCAGAAGTGTTTCAGCAGCACTAACGTTAATAAAGTTTGTTATTGTAACAAAAAAGAGGTTAAAACAAACAAACAAAAGTCCAAGCAATAAAAAGAAACTACATGTGTATTGCTTTTTCAGTTCATAAAAAGACAGCAATGGAAAATACGGTCTTTACATAATACATGTATGCTTAACACATTGCTGAATGGTGCTTTGATTTTTTTCATTCAAGCACTGGTTATCACTTAATGTAGCCCAAGACCATTGTCTTCCACACACTGATTTTTTTAAAAATGAAAATGAATACCCACCAGCCAAGGTATACATTGATTGATTGATTGATTGATTGATTGATTGATTGATTGATTGATTGAATGGATGGATGGATGGATGGATGGAAACAGCTTTAAAAATAAATTAGATACCATCCATGAGCATAGAAACAGAATGTATTGTAATGTAAAAATTAGGCAGCTGTGATGTTGCTTGTCAAACTAAAATGTACAGTCTACATGTGCAGTATCTCATTCCTCCAGTATTCTGGTGACTCCACCTAATAGCCCATGGGAAGACTTTACTCCTTTTCTAGAAAGCAATGTCCCTGACCCTTGCCACCCTTGTCATTATTTAATATAATACTAAATGGATTGAATTAATCCTCTTCTCCTTTTAATACATATATTTTCAAGAAAGTTTCGCTTGCAAGCAAATCCTTTTATCTGCTAACCCAGATTCATTTTGCCCATTCATTATTGCCTGCCTCTTTTATGCTTTCTCCTGTCTATTTTAGGCCAATTTTTTTGCTACAGAGGAAAATGTAGTTATAGTATTACTGATAAATGTACAAATAGATCAAGTTAACCCTCTTGCTTAAAATGGAGGGTTCGCTCAAACCCTTCAGTGATGGCATTTATTTATCAAATAATATAGAGATTTTATGTTTATAGAATCATAGAGTTGACAGGTACCTTAAGAGGTCATTGAAGTTCAACTCCCTGTGCAATGCAAGATTCAGTACAACATTCCCAGTAGATGACCATACAGTTTTCTGTTTTAAAACCTTCAGTAAAGGTGGAGGGGAAACTCATTCCATGTGGTAACTATTCTTCTTTCTGAACAAATGTACTTAAGTTAACTTTCTCCTAATGTCTAATCTGTCTCTACATCTTTGAGATTTGTCTTATTCGTTTTTATCTTACCTTCTGGAGCCAGGGAGAATGTCCAAACCATTTACAATGCAAATGCCATTCAAATATGTAAAAGAGCTAGCATGACCTCCTTCAATCTTCCCTTTTGCAAGCTAAACATTCCTAAGTCTTTTGACTATTCTTTGTAGGACTTTGTTCCAGTTCTTTCACCATCTTGGTAGGCCTTCTCTAGACTTGCTCCAGTTCATCTACATCTTTTTATACTGGCTGTGCAGAACTGAATTCTATGTTTAAGTGAGGCCTGACTAAAGTGGAGTAGGAATCATCTCACAGTGTCTGAGGTTTTTGCTCTTTTAATGCTGTTTAAGTTGTCATTGTCTTCTTTGCATACGTTGAACTTATGATCTTCTAATACCCAGCAAAACATATCTCATACGTTTTGCTCTTGAGGCAGATTTACCTCATTTGTATGTGGTTTTATATTCCTTCCTGTTAAATTTTGTTCTATTTGTTTTCACCAATTGTTCTAGTCCAAGTCTTTTTTGATTCCTCCTTCCTAAATATTAGTCATTTCTCCTAGCTTGGTACCATCTGCAAATTTGGTAAGCATTAACCCAACCCCTTATTCATATAATTTATAAAAATGTTGAACAACACTGGGCCAAGGCAGAGCCCTCTCTCACTCTCCTCAACATGTCTCTCAAGGTAGATTCAATTCTATTTATAACTACACTTTGAGTAAAATCCTTGGACTGTGGATCCACCTGATATGTCAGTTCTCAAACCCATATTTGACCATTTTGTTAATTAAGGACGCTATAAGAGACTTCGTCAAAAGCTTTGCTGAAATCAAGATATGCTATATTCATGGCCCTTTTCCAATCAACCAGGCTAGTAATTCTATCATCAAAGGATATCACATTAACTAGGCATGATCTGTTTGGCATAAATCAGTTGGATCATGTTAATTCCTAGCTAAGTGCTCATAGACAATCTGCTTGGTAATATCAAGGACCTTGCCCAGTGCTGATATCAGGTTCACAAGCCTCCAATTTCTTAAGTCCTTCATCCTTTTTTTGGAAAATGGGAAAGAGGAAACTCCATGTCTTCTGAGACCTTGCATAATCTTAAGACTTTTCAAAGATTACAAAAGTGCAATTCTGCAATTACCTCACTTTCTCAATATTTATCTTGAACTCCAGTTCATACACACATATACATACACACACACACACAATTCATACACACATATACACAGTTCATACACAGATACACATCTGTGTACATCTGCCTCTAGTTGGCACAATGAGGGTCAAACAAGTGTTCCTTTACTTTCTGAGAGAAATATTTACAAAACTACTTTTCCCAGCCCACAATTATAATCATTAATAGCTTTTTGATACTTTTTGATACTTATAAAGTACGGTATAAATCACCAATGTAAGCCAGTTGTTGCTTTGCATACTTTTGAATTGAAACAGAAAGGGTATCTGCCAACAGTTTAATAGATGAATGGTTATAAATACTAAAGTAGGTAGATAATCAAACAGATAAATGTGAACATGTTTAGTGAACCTAAAAGGGGGACTCTCTACTGCATAATATTATTGTTTAGCAATATTTACCATTATTACAATAAGTTTCCATTTTAGTAATGAGCAACAGGTGCAATTCAATTTATTTATTGCTTCCTTTACAAATTGTGGACAGTTGGCAATTGCTAGGAAGTAGTTAGCACAAAATCAGTGAGGCCCAATAAGCCTTGTTCAGACCAAAATAGAGATGAAGAAGAGCCCCAGGTGTGACTTTCAAGAATATAAATAAAAAGGTTCATAATTAAATAACAGAAGAGCACAATGATTGCTTCAGGAATGGAAAACCACAAAAAGAAAGTCTAGATTAAACATACTAATAGAAACTCTATTGAATTAGTGTTAATTTGTTATTTAAATGGAAAATACTTTCACATTAAGGAAAGATGGATGATAAAGAGAAAATAGGAGATGGGGAGAGGATGGAGGGACAGAAAGTTTGTTTTAACTAGCCAAACAAAATTATTCCATAGTGTTCTAATATCTACATAATATAATGGAAGGTGGCAGTTCCATAGATTAATTCCAGTTAATTAAGTTCCATAGTAATAAAGTTTCACATTGTTCCTTCCAGTTTGAAAAGGAAGGATAACACAGATGATCTCAAAAATGTTGCACTGTCTATATCTCAGAAGATCTAAAAAATAATTATAGTTAAAGCCACAGTTTGTCAAAGAAATTACCTAAAGCATTTAGTGCTAGAAATACTTTCTCCCAGGTGTCATGATTTTATGAGCAAAGAAATTAAAAAAAGATCTAGTCAAACAATGTAAAAGTTGTATATCAGTATAAGACTATGGTCAGACTTATAAGTTCAGCCAGTGCAAGCAGAATTTAAAGACAAACTAACATAGCCACTGGCAAATAATTATGCCATGACTCAGAATTAGGAAAAAAAACCTCACATACCATTGGCTCCAAATACTATTATTTGAATAGAATACCTTCATTTACACACAATGAATTGATGTCAAAAAGGGAAGAGGGGAAAAACTCATAAGATCTGGGCAACTTATTTTATTTTCTCATTTATTCATTACAATTAATGGATTTGATTTATATTTTACTTTTCTTCCTAGGGACTAGCTTTGAGGTGAGGCATCTGCAGTTATTCATCCTTGGATAAATTTTCATTATGATTACCGAAAAAGAATTGAAGATAAGTAAAGTGACTTAAAGAAGTAAACCATGATATCGGTATATAAAATGCTACATTGGACATACTCTAATTTGAACCTATTAATAAATAGCATGTTAACTACTCAGGATCCTGCCAGCCCTTCTTTATTTGGTAGAAAAAGAAAGGACTATTTTGTGTACTGCTTACAGTATTTGGTCTATGTTTATCAATCAAGTAACAAGGATGGCTTGTAGGATACTTACCACAAATGTGTAATGTTGTGCAGACTTGGCCACAAATTCTGATTTGCATTCTCCAATACAGAGGAGTGCAGGACCAGAGCTAATGTCAGGCTCAGCTTGCCCCATTTCACACACAATTCTGAAAATGTAAAATCCATAGTGAGTTCCATAATAGGAAAAATGCTATTATATATATATGCACATTGTTCATGCCATAATAGTATGGCTGATGCTCTGGTCTGATGAATGAGCTAATTTTGAAGACTTCTTTTTTTTCCTATGCGGTAATTTAACAGAAGAGAAAGTCAGAATTAGATATAATTTTGCAAGCTGTAAAGTTGAGTGGAAAGCAAAGCACAAATGGCAAATGCATTATATTATTGAAAAGAAAGTGTGAAGTCCTTGAAGTAATGGATGAGGTCAATAATGAGAACAACTCTCATTGTAGGTTGCAGTTTAATCAGCAACAGGCACACTTAATAAGATATGATAAAGTTGTCACATTTGTCCACATTAGAATGTTCTAATAGTGATGAGAGAATGAGTTAAATTGACATAAAGCAATAATATTTTGAGATAAATCGTGAATATGATATATTTGAAGAGAAAACATGAGTTTTCAAACAAGTAACTGTGTTGTGAACATAAATGAATGGTCCTCCTCTCAGCTTCTCTTTACATCTTCAATAAATATTTTGAAAAAAATGGGACTGTGGCCACCTGCATTAGCATCTATGCTTTAATGGCATATAAATGGACAATATACATATAGATTCCTCCAAAATTTACAGGCCTGAGTGTAGATCCTGAATATGTTTAAGTGTACATGTAGTGTGTCTGGATTTGTAATTTAATATTGCCTAATAACCTTGAAGCCATACATGTTCACGATTGGTCACCATAATTCTACAAACTGAAGAGAAACATGGAAAGTGAATGTGTGTTTCTGTTTCCTGTGGGTTTCCTTGCTATTCATGTGTCTGATGAAGGTTAATTCAATGTGCTGTATGTCAACAGGAAACTTATGCTTTCAGACTCAGGGAACAACCCATTATTTTTTTTTTGCTTTCTACTAAGGATAGTCCTGAATGCAAATTAGTCATTTCACAACTGTTTGAAAGTTACAATGACAGAGACAAAAATGACTTAAAATTGGTCTTCGCACTTGTAACTGTCACAGCATCCCCATGGTCGCTTGATAAAAATTTGGGTGGCATCTGGCATGTATATATAACGGTTGCAACATTCTGGGGTCATAATTGCTTTAGTTGCTGGTCTGCTTTTAACAAGCAAAATTGAGTGGGGTAGCCAGATTTTCTTAATGACTGCACGAATCAATTAACAACTGCAATGCTTCACTTTATAACCATGACAAGAATGATTGTAAAATTGGCCATCTCACTTAATAGCTGCCTTGCTTAGCAACAGAAATTCTGATCCCAATGGTCTTATTCAGTATTATATTATTCAGTTAAAGTTTTTATAAAGTTTATACTCAGTTTTGTGTGCTCACAACATTATCCTGAAGAAATCTACTCTATTTTATCCTTGGAAAAGAAAGCATAATAACAGGCATTGTGTCAGAGATAGACAAAGTATAAGACTTCCAGGGAGGATATTGTGAACTGAGGACAGCTCTGCTAAAAGTGGAGTTGACAATCACTGCAAAAACAAAACAAAACTGGTGAGTAGATTCTTTGCAATTTGTATCTGGATGAGTGCTTTAAATAACCTACAAGTATTCCATAAAATTACTTCTTTTGAGAAGACTGCAAGACAGCAATCTCTGGCAAATATAGGGTCCCGGGAGATGAAGGAATAGTCAACTTTTTGCTCAACCCACGGTTGGTGCCTTTAAAAGGACATTGGCTTCACTTCACATGCTTCTTTTTCAATCAATTTTGTGAATTTCTTATTAACAGGTTTTCAGCTATCAGGAACCTTTGGATTGACATGTTTTACAGTACTGGGTAAGTTTCTGCACTCAACTTTACAGCTTGCATTGAGCCTGGGGGGTGGGGGGGAGGGCGTGATGTGATGGACTGTGGTGTAATAGTAGTTTCCCAGGAAGGAGAGAGCACATTCCAAGGAAGGGGTTAAGACAGGAAGCGATACAGCCTGGAGATGAATTGGAAAAAGAAGACTTAGGATAGCCACTCCCTAGAATCTCTCAGGATATATAGGCTAGGGGGAGAGTAGTAAAAGTTTAGTCTCCGAAGATTCTGAACTTTGGTTGGCTTGATCTATGCCTTTCTTAGCCTGGCCTGAGAATTTCAAACCTTAGAGGAAAAAAAAGTTTTAAATACAAATTTAAACTTTAAAAAAATATTTTGAATTAACAGAAAAGGGTAATTAGATCTTAGGAAATTAGTGGACTAAAATAGTTTTGAAATATGATTTTTGAATTAATTATAAGAATCCTTCCAATGGGAAAATGTTTTTGCTTTGAAAATGATAATATTCAATGGCACAATCATATAATTAGCAAATTGTTTAATGCCCTAAATTCAATTAATTTGCACCTAGAGATTTAAATTCATTCAGGCTAAATAGGTATTCGCTAGCCAAGTTTTTTCATTAATGTTAAACGTTAGTCCTACTCTCTTTCTCTTGAATAGTTGTTTTTTATTAGCTGCGTGCTAACATTTTGCCATACTCATTAAGCAGCTGGTAACTTGATTTATTTTCTTTGTTCCCTCCTTTCTTTTCCCTTTATTTTGAATATATCCAGACTTTTATTACAAATACGATTTTCTTACTATTAGCATATTTTGCCAATCTGAGTTCAATTTGAGCATTAGACTTTCTAATACCATTTCTACAATTCTAGACGATTTTTTCTCTTTCCATTTCCTATTTGTATCCTTTTTGTTATCAGATCTCCATTAAAGTTTTTGCACAGTCATACTGGGCTTCCTCTGCTAGTTTCCCCGCCCCTCTTATCGAAATTGCTTGCACTTTTGAAAGAGTTTTCTCCAATCTGAGGCTCCTTTCCTTAACAATTTACTATCGAGGGCATCACTTTTATTTTCTGAAGGGACAATGACATAGCAATCTTACCCAACCTGGGTGTTTTCCAATAACTCTTTTCAACTCCCAGACCTCTTATTTTTCTAATCAAATTTTTATTTTTTATATTATTTATACATATCAATGCGTGAGTGGTGTGGTAACTGGGTAACATACATTTCAGTACACATAAACATAGTCTTATTATTCCTAAATATTACATTTCATTCCCATTATTTCATATTATTTATACATGCCTTTTATTATCACCTTTCATTTCTGAACCATCTTTCTGTCTTTTTGTATATCTTAACATATTAATATATAATTATTATTATTCCCCACTATTTACAATTCCTATTTTAACTTTTTTCCCCTTTCATATCACTATAATATTCAAAGACGTGTTTTCTACCTATTTTGTTGTTTGTATTTCCTTAGTTAAATCAAAATTCCAGCCATCATTCCTCCATTATTCAATATCTTCTTATATAGTTTTAGTATCACAACTCCTAGACCTCTTTTTAAAGGTCACTTATAACAATAATTTGTCATGCTATCTTTGAATAAAAACATCCACTGACTAGTATAAAATTAAAGATGGCACATTAATTCCTATGGATCTTCTAATCTGAGATAGAAATATTAATTCATGCCAGGCAAGAACCACAGGTAAACCTGATAGGAAATTGTGCTTTTGGAAGAGTCTAGGGGTCTGATTACTTTGTTAAGTGGCTCTTTACCAATATTAACCTAATTGCCATTGATATATAGCAAGGACAAAGGACTGTAAATCAATACTGTCTCAGAATCCAACCTGCCCACAGAATCCTTATAAGAGGCCTTTTATCTGGATTCAACTTGAAAAAGCAGCGATCCTTGCTATTATCTGCCCAGGATAAATGTTCTAATGATGTTAAAAATCTTTGAAAGCTTGAGAGTACTAATTAGAGTTGTGATTATAAAATCAGGGTTTCCTAGTATTATCAAAAGAGGATAATTTTAATAATCCCCCTTCTAAAAATAAAATGAAACAATATGGCATATAAAGTATAATGGCTAAGCAGCCTATTCTTACTCTAGCTTATGATGGCATTAGTGCACAGCCCCAAGCTATTACAGTAATAATATTACTTTGCTCTTCTATAGAATCTTTTATATGAGCATCAAAAGGTACTTTATAAGCACTAGGACCTCCATACCACTCCAGGCAAGAACATATAGCTTTTCTGCTTTTTAAGAAGAGACAACCAAGGTGGTTAGAAATTTTGTGATTTGCCTAAAATGAATTAGGAACAGAATCTCCCACAATAGTGTGCACTGCTCCCTCAAACCAGAATCCCTGAACTCATAAATTAAAATATGAATATTTGCTAGCATTGACAGAACTGTGGTTCCACCCACTTCACTTACTTTTTTCAGGCAGAAGGCAATGGAAAAAGAAAACTAAGGTTTCTTCCTCCCATGACCTTATTACTAGCTCTCTTATAATTATTAGCATTTAGCAATTATATTTCCTTTAATATAGAATTGTTACAGCATGAAATCTAGCTGCAGCAGACTAAAACTGATGTAAATTATTAGAAAGGGCCCTACCAATTTAGAGTGCAAGTGGGTAAATCTCATTTTAATACTCCTTATAAATAGAACATTGATATATTTGATGACAGGAAAAGGCTAAGATTTTCTCTCGGATGAAATTGTGCTTAGTGGGGAATGTACATGAAGAAACAGGTTTTTTTTAAATGTTTCTCCATGTACATGCTGAACCAAGATCTGTAGTCAGTGATTTTATTACTGGTGTGGACTGCTCCTAAATCTGTTGATTCTAAGAAGTGACCTGAGATTTAAGCAATTGAGATCTCTTGAACTTCTGAAAACTATCAGAAAAAAATGACAACTACCAGAAAAAACCCTTTTAGAGGCAGACCACCCAGTCCAGTCCAATCTCGCCCCACTGGAGCTGAGCAATCCATTTCATATCCTTCCCCTTGAAGAAACCATACTGACATCTGGAGGAGGAATATCATTAAGTGTAAAGAAAGTAGACCAGGAATCCCACCCCCCCCCAAAAAGGTGTGTGTGGTAGTGGTGAGGAAAATGATACACTTCTCAGAAGAACGGAATCAG